AGCAAGTTCTGTTATGTTGTTTTACAAGTGTATGTTACATTAAATACTGTTGGATATGTTTATCTGCAGTTAGTTTCCCTCTTGGATAATATTGATGATTCTCTTGTAACTAGTAGTCCTTTTGAAGTCCTAGTCACCCACGTGTGGATTTGTTTCACTATTTAAACAGGTAGAGATAAGAAACAATATACTGTTTATATAACCTGTATCAGCTAACATATCCACAAACACACACTCTTGTTTTTAATCATATTTGTACGATGAAGATAATCAATGTTTGAATTCTCTTGGAAGTGTTTGCCCTGCTTCCCTATTTTGATGCCCAGCATATGAAACAAGGAATGATCGTAGCCACCAAACTGAAACGGGGGCTGTCATATGCATGAATTTTGATAATGCAAGACTTTTTTTTTGCTTGCTTTAACCAGTCTTTTGACATCCTGAAGTGTATCTTGTGTTTTCTGTGCTGTATCAGGAGATTAATGACCAAGGGCACGTCTGTGTGAGCTGTGCGTGAGAGTGCCTGTAGTAACTCATGTGGAGAGGCTTGTTTTCAGTAGAGTGAGCTGGATCACAAGGTTGAGCTTGTTGAAAAAATGGCACCTGGGCCTATTGTTTTTGTGAAATGCTGACGTTTCCTGGCTGGTACCTAAATGGATGCTCAAGAGGACCTGTGTGTATGCCTATATAGCTGAAATCCCTTTAGGAAGTGGTGGGGAGGGCAGAAAGAAAAATCCTCCTGTTGCTACTTCAGAGCTGGTAACAAGCAACTTAATAAAATATTTTTTCATTAGACAGAGCTTTTTAGCCTCCCACCACCTATTACGTACAAGCTAATCTAGGCTACCTGAAGATAAGATGGAAGGGCCAAAGCCTCAAGTAAAGATTTGGAGTGCCAAACCTAACTTACAGTTTCCGAAGTAGGTGCTAAATAGACTTAATAGTGGGTTTGGACACTTCCATTCCAGAAGCTGCTAATTGACCTCCCCTGCCTGCTGCTGCTGATGATTGCTACAAAGAACCATAGTGGCCAGCGTGTCCTGCTGTTCTCTGGTAATGAGACCTTGCTCTTTGGGTCCAGAAAATGTAATAGAAAGCATCATTGCGGAACCTATTGGGGCAGGAGCATCATCAGTAAAACAATAGGTGCAAAAGGAAAATACAGGACATTTTTGTAGATGTAAAACATAATTTAAATCGGTGAACTCCGGGGTATTGAGGGAGACTCAGCTGCCCGGTTTTCCATTGCTTTAGTAACTGGAAGTAAGTTGTGCTATGAGGCAGCCGAGCAAGCCGGTGAAGATGAGTTTTGGGCAGTACCTCTGCTAGTCATAGTTTTCAGATACATAGTCTCCAGTGGATCTTGCATCTAAAGGGTCTGAACAGCCCTTGGTCTCTTTTACATTTGTCACAAAAACATTGTTCTTAAGCACTTAAAAAGGTGTTTGTGGCAAGAAAAATATTGAAATATTCAAAGTATTTCAAATGGAAGGTAGAGGTGGAAAACATGGCTACTTTCCACACCCTTCCTACAGCTTTTGTTGTTTCCTTGGAAAAACATCAGCATCCTGATTTTTAGATATTCACCTTCTATCCATTCCTCTTATATGACCCTGTTCATTTAAAAAGAATAATTAGTCCAAATTATGACCTGCATCCTATACTTTTGGTAAGGATCTAAAATAACAACAGGCACCTCCTCTGCCTTTAAGCCAGTTAGTCTTTTTGTTTTGTCACCCAAATATGTGGATACGGTTTGGTTCTTTCCCTTTTTTTTGAGGGGGGATGAAGAAGGGTGCCAGTTAGCACTGCCATGGTGGTGTGGAAAGTACTGTAATTAATGGCATCAACAGTAAATGCCATCTCAATTTAGCAGTGTCCTGCTGGGATCTTTCTGAGTCATAATACCTCGTGATGCTGCTGCTTTCTTCCCGTGATCGAACCTGCGTGGAAGGGTTTAATCTGGTTCAGAGTTTCTTCAGGACTGGATCTAACAGGGGGAACTGGGTTAAATCTCAGCCTGCTCAAACCTGTATGTAAAGACATGGAAGGAAAGTGAGCTGGATTAACCTGGTATACAGGTGTAATTCATAGCTAGTTCAAGTAGAGCTTCTCCCGGCATGCACGGGATGAGATCCTGCCTCTGAATTAGTGTTGTTAATTAACAGCGCTGGCTCAGTTTTAGAAAGTGACAACTGAAAATCATGTAGGGGAGCTGAGCTCTTAAGGAGCTCCAGAAAAGTGCCTCAGAAATACAGCGAGGCAGGGCGTGATGTCCGGTGACTTCTTGCAGTGTTACTCCCTACAGTTGCTTTTGTGCCCTCCTGCAGTTAATGAGGTACGAGGGCCTTGAACTGTCATATAGTTAAGCAATCATTTTCTTCTATTTTCTTTTTCATCCCACCATTTTACAAATATAGCAACAGAGAGAGGAATTTCCAAATTTGTTGAGGTGCTTTTTCTTAAATGTATAAGTTTGCAAAGTTGTTTTGCGGAGATTACTGCAGTTTCTGCAGTGAAAGTTTGCAGTTATTCAACTAGTTTGCACTCCTTAAATGTCCTAGATTTGTTGCTACAGAAGTGGAAGGAGAAAATTTTACAGCATGACCTTCTGTATTCTTGTAAGGACCATTTGTTTGTATTTAAAGTAAAACCTATGTCTTTCTGGTTCGGTGTTAACAAATTCCTAGAAAACTGTATGATTTTAGTTTAGGCAGAATTTATGGCAAGACATGATTTGGGGGGGGGTGTCCATCTTGAGGAGTGCCTTTCAGGTGAAAGTTCTTCTCAAATCAGAGGCCAGTCTTTCTCTTTATCAGGCCATTCATCAGTTACCTGCTCCAAATGCTAAATGTGAACCCGTTCCAGGAACAGTTTCATTCACACACCTGAGGCTGTGTGTCTAGTCTTTGGTAGCATATACTTGTTACTTTAGCAACTTGCAGGTGTTAAGCAGGTGTCTAGGAGAGAACAACATTACGGATCCCACAGGGTCATTTTGTTTTCCCCTAATGACCAGGAATATCTCCTAGCAGGAGGAGCAGTTTCTGTTTTTCCATGTGATGCAAAATACCATTACAGAATTTAAATTACTGAATGACACTTGACTGGAATTTGAACGGGTACTAACCAGCTTACTAACTGAATATATATTTGCAAGTCTCTTGTAATTTTGCACCCGTGGGAGAGAGGAACCAGAAAGGACTGTTTTTTCTAGCTCTAGCAGAAATGAAAACTGGGATCAAACTTGCAAAGCCAAAGTTTGTTGTCCCCCTCCTGGAGATCAGAATGAGGATGAGTGCAAGAGAGGGCCACGGGAAAAATTTGTTCCAGCTTTGAAGTTTACTTCCATTTATAGTTTGATTTCATAAAACGTTGGTCCTATTTCCATAAAATTGAAGTTAGCCGATTTCTTCAACAAAAATTTTGTTTCATTTTCAGAGCTTGCACTTACTCAGCACCATCTAGTGGACCAACTGCTATTGTCATTTAGAAAACAGCTGGTCTTCGTATACCATACAGCAAGTTGGAGCGTGCAATCCTTAAAGTGTGAATGATGTACCTAACTGTGATACAAATGATAAATATGAGCTGGTGCTACCAGTGACCTCTGAAGTCCTCACCTGAGAAAAATGCTCTGGAGTCTTTCTAATTTAAATTGTAGGCAAGGAATTCAGTGTTTAGCTCTTTGAAAATACATGATTTTGTTTAAAGAAAAAAAAAAAACCCTCGGGAAAACCTCCCTATAGAGTGCACACATGCAGAAAGCAAGAGAATTGTCAGGTCGTCCCAGTGGCTATCTCAGGACTCGGGAAAAGATGAGGGGCCTGTGGCTCTGGTCTTTTGGGGGTGCACGGGAACAGGTTTGCTTTTTCCAGCTCTAACAAGAAGGGCTGAATCTCTGGAAAAACGAATGTCTCTAGAAGCCTGGGTGTTTCTGCGGCCCTGGCTATATCACCAGCATCCTACTGTTCTCCTGAATAAGGTTTCTTTCGCAGCAAGCCTTTGATTTGGTAGCTCCGGTTGCAAATGAAGGGAGAGCAAAGGGGGACATCCTGAGTCTCTGGGCAGAAGAACCTGACAAAAGCCGCAGACGTGTGGGTGAGAGCAGACAGCCAGTGCACTTGCTCAGTGACACTGGGCAAGCACCAGAGGCAAAACCTCCCTCCAGTGCAAGGAGCAACAAGCATCACCGAGAGCAGGGGGAACTATGGAAAATAGGCGCAAAGCAAAGTTGCGTTACAGCAAATGCACCGAGTTGTAACATCTTCCCCTTCAAACTTCTTTGCGTTTTAACATTACATCACTTTAGGGTCTGTTGGTTTTGTTCAATTCACATGTTTTGGACAATGAAAATAAGTGGGTCAGTTTTGTTCTGTAAATTTGTATGCGTTAGTACGATAACATTGTGCTGAGGTTTTCAAAAAAGCTATTCTTAAATAATTCATAGAAGGATTTCGCTTCATTTTTCCAAAATCTAAATGTGCAGGCTAGTTTGTTTCCCAGTTTTAAGGGAACCCAGCACTTAAATAACACTCACTTTCTTTCTTTTCTAAGCGTTTATGTAGTGCAGCAGTCAGAATATCACTTGTGTGCTGGCCTTCTCACAATGCTACATTGCAACATAAGCTCTCCAGGCAGAAGTGGCTGGTTTTTCAGATGAAGAAAATAAAGGTTTAGGGATTTTCCTTTTCAAGTTTTAAGTTTGATAGCTGTGGATACTGATGGTAGTGTACATGTTCATCCAGTTGAGCAGGTGCAATCCTGTTTGAAAATCCACTTGGCTCCCACTGACTGCAGCAGAAAACATGGGTCCGAAAAGGTCATAATGTTTAAGTAAACAAATTTAGTGACAGGAATCCTGTTTTGTCAGAGGTTTGGGGATAAATCCTACATGCTGGAAAATACCCATTTCCAAAGGATGTGGCTTTGCTTTTGTAATAGCTGTGAACCAAACATTAGCTAGCATATGGGAATTCAAGAAAACGCTTAAAATTGTTTCCTCTCTTTCTGTTTCTCCTCCAGCTCTGGGATTGTACACAGTAAATGCAGTATATGGAGATACTATTACTATGCCTTGTCGTCTAGAAGTACCAGATGGTCTTATGTTTGGAAAATGGAAATATGTAAGTATAGCTTACCTTTACATTTATTAGAGCTGGTATAAGATGATGTGTATTTTTTGTGTGTGAGATTACAAGACTCCAATCGATAGGATTTCTGCCTCAGATACGAAGACATTCGTTCCTGTATTTGTAAGACTGCAAGATTCCAATCTGCATAATTTCTGCCAAGCATAGATTAGAGGTTTGAGGAATTAATCTCATTGTTCAAGAGAAATAATTATTCGGGAGTTCTCTGCCAACCTGTATTAGGGATCTGGCGTGTTACCCAGTGGCGTCTCACTCACTTGACAGAGCCATAGTTGTACGTTTGAATACTTTTGAAACGGGCTGCCTGAAGCAGGGCGTGCTTCATCCCTGGGAAAGCACTGTCCCCAGCGCTGGTTGATCTGACAGCCACTCAATAGTGTTTCATGCTTCAATGTGTTTAATGCATAGCGAAGAAGAGGGCAGAGCTGACCTTAGCAGAGTTGCTGGTGGTTTCACTCTGCCACTTCTGGCACGTGGAGAACAGAGGCAAAAATGCCAGTGCTCTCCTGGTTGTCTCGCTCAGCCTGCAGTAGGAACACCGCAGGATGTGCTTCTCCTGTATGCGATCGGTATTCAGGGCCAAAAGGAGAATAAGCGTATGAAAGTCAAATGAAGCCTGGAAGCATATGTGGAAGAAACCACCAGGATACCAAATCCCTTTTGCTTCTGAGACTGACATCAGGACAACTGGTTTTCCTGCTACCGTGAAGTTCATCTAAATCTCCTCTCGTGCTCAAACCAAAATGTTACCAGCAATAATAGGTGATGTTTACTCTGACAGTGGATTTAAAATTACATAGTTCTCTCTCTCTCTCTTTTTAAATGGCATCCACCTCCCTATTTTACAGCAAACTGGTCTGCCGCTGGGGGTGTTTCATAATCCCCCCCTGGCTCCTTCCCTTGGATCTGGAAGTTTGCAGCTTTTGCAGCCCTCATCCACTCAAGAGTTCCTGCTCCACAAACATGTTTTGGGAAATGAAGTCAGAAGTCTGTGGAGGACCTTTCCCTAAAAGGGACAGTGAAATTGTTTCATACAAGCATTCAGAAGATGCAGGGCCTATGTTTTGCAATGTGCTTTTTAGTCTGCTGACTTTTCTTGGGAAGAAGTCTGTCTGTATGAAGATGCAAGGCTATTTTGAGGAAAAGAAATGCATTATCTCTTTCCGGTGCATTCGGATTGCTCATCTTGGACAAGTACCAAGACGCAAATGGAGACGTTATAGCTTCTCCTAAATGGAAAGGGACATGAAACCTAACATGCAGAAAAGCCTGTCCAATTGCTCTTGTATGAAATTGTTGACACAACCCACACAAGCAAGTGAAAGTGATACCCATTCTCCCAGGGCAGCTCCCAGCATGGTGACACTTGTTTTTAGCAGGGGAAGGATTTGGTTTAGGTTTTTTTGGTTGGGTGATTATTTCATTGGAAGAAGGAGGAACTGCGTTTTCTGCTCTGCTGCCTTGGGAGTGGCAATTCGGGTTGCTCGTGGGAGCCCGGGGGCACTAGGAGACTTGCACCGTGGCAGGAGCAGGTGTTGCTCCCTTCAGCGTCTACCTGTGCGTGCTCGCGTGCTAGGTAAGCCTGCAGAGTTAAGAGCTCGTTTGCACTTGACAGCCAACTTTGCGTGTATCGAGTCAAGGCAAAGCTTTATTTCCTGTGTGACAGACATCTGGAGTAATCCGAGAGTTAAAAGTGGGAGAGGGAGAAAGACTATAAGGGAATTTAAACTTCATATTAGCTGTTGCCTCCTGCTCCCTGCCGGGCTCTGACACGACTCATCTCTTGTCACAGCATCATCATGCTTTTGTGGGCTCTGCAGTCAAGCTGAGGTATTGTGCTGGGGACACTACTCGCATCAGTGCTGCAAGGTGCACGGGATAAAAGGGAAGGAAAATCTCTTCCAGCCCCCAGCACAATACTGAATGTAATGGAGTCAACCTTTTACCTCACTTTATTTAAAGGCAGACAGTGTCTGTCCCTGCTCGGGGGCGGGGAATGAAATCCTGCAGAACTCAGCCTGTAACTTTGTCTCTCATAAAAATAAATTCTTGATATGGTAGGTTTGTGCAAGGCTGTCAACTTTGTATTCCTTCTTAGGATGGCAACTGCATACTTATTCATATAAGGAGGATGTCTAGAAAATGGTATTTTGCAGATTTTCCTGAGATGCATAAATAACAATATTTGATTGTATGTATACTCCCATGCCACAAGCTCTTGGGTCCTTTAAAAACAAAGGGGGAAAAAAAAAAAACCCGCTGAAAACTAATTTAGAATAAAATAGGCAGTTATGCCTGATTAAATCCTGCATTTGGAATGAAGTCTGAATATCCCAGACAAACAATATGAATATGTAAAACGATCATGAAAAAAGGGAAACTGAAGCTTTTGAGCCTAGCTCACAAATGCTTCTATTTCAAATACTTTTTAATACACACAGAGGCAGGTGGTGCCAGAACCACCAGCCTTCATCAGAGAAAGTCCTATGCCATGCTGAGATTGAGCCAAAGGATTGAAATTATTTCTACTGATTATATTCTCAATGTGTACCACAGCAGTCTTAAACTACCTCTTGTGTTACAGTTAAACAATTTCTTGTTTATACAGCAGAAATTAATCAGGAAAAAAGCCATCTGGTGTAGTTTTCAGATTTTTTTAAATTATGGGCTTGTACCAATTGCAAATCTTCAGGCACTTTTAAATGAGTGTTTATGCAAAATAGAGGTGTTTATCCTTTTATTATAGGAAATGCCAAATGGATCTCCAGTATTTATTGCCTTCAGATCATCAACAAAAAAAAATGTACAGTATGATGATGTACCAGACTACAGAGACAGGTTGAGTCTCTCAGAAAACTATACATTATCCATCAAGAATGCAAGAATCAGTGATGAGAAGAGATTTGTATGTATGCTAGTTACAGAAGATGATGTTTCCGAAGAGCCAACGATAGTTAAAGTCTTCAGTAAGTAAATCTAGTTGTTACTACCGTTAACATTCATCAGCATCTGAATCGTAAATTATGGAAACTTTTGTTTAAGGGAAAGATTAAAACCAAGAAAGTAAGTTTGGCTGAGTAAATTACTAAGACTAGCAAATTTCTGCAGCTTTCAAAAATGTAATCTACTGGTGGCATTTATATAACAGGACTGCCTGCACTTGCAGTTTATTCATGATAAGTGCTGGCTCAAAGAGAATTTTAGGCTTTGATAATGACTCACTTATGTGATGTCATTTGGCCTTGGAAATGAAAAATGTAAAATTAGCACTGATTATTTTCCATTTGTTCTCCGAGCGAATTTTTCTGCAGGAGGGAAGCATTAACTGTGTGCGGTCTGCAGGATTAGATCAGTGGAGAGGTTTAAACCAGCTCCGAGCAGCTAGTATGCAACGGCATGAACTGTGAGTGAGCAAGCGAGAGGCTGGAAAACGAGTTGCTAGCCCCAAAAGCTTATTTTGTCCCCCGCTGAACTATCAGGAGAAAGACCAGTCTGCAGTTCTGTTTTAGAGCGCACCAAAGTTTATTAGCGTTTGATACTGCTACAAGCCGATTGCAAGGCTGATCCGCAGTGCGAACCCCAGTGCTCTGAGGCGCAGTCCTGCTCTGAGCTTGCACAAGAGCATGGGCAAACCTGGCCTCTTCCTGGCGCTGATCCAGAGCAGACGTAATCCCTCAAGCCCTGACTCCGCTTGCGGAGGCGTCCGTTACTCCTTTTTAGGGGCGCAGGTCTGCTGAGGCTAAGGTTAGCATTTGTAAATGCAGTGGATATCTTCCTCAGCTTCATGTTTTTGTATGGCTTTTTGTGGTCTTTGTTGCTCTTCACATGCAGATTTACACAGTCAAAGTAAGTCTCTATTGTGGGAGCGTGTTGCTTGCAGGGATGCGCAGTTTCAAACGGATCACACTTCTGCTTGAAAAACATGAATTCATGTTTTGGAAGGGCACCCTTACTCTTCTCTCAGGGAGAAGGTGTCAGGGAGTCGTCAGTCGTGTCTAGGCAGAAGTTTGTCAGTGGCATAAATGAGTTTGAAGCTAGATTAGGAGTCAACAGTAATTCTTTTCCCTCGTTTCGCTTTCGATTTGACTGCAAGAACAGTCGAATTAGTGACAACAGGGAGGAGCGTGCTCAGAGCACGCATAGTAAACACAGCGCTTCAAAAGAAATGATAAAGAATTATCATGTTTACTTATCACACCGCAGTAAATATGTAGATGAGACAGTGGTATATGGTGAAACGAAATGCTAACTGCTTGAATTACTGTGTTCTGTACTAAATATTAACACAATGCTAACTCAGCCATGGCGCACAGCTCGTATGTTTTGTTGTATGCATTAATACTAATAGAGAAAGCTTCTGTTTCCTAAGGAAGATAAGAATAGAGGATGCCACTCATGTAATATGGCCGACTTAGCACTGCAAGAAAAAATTACCTTTGCAGTTTTTCATTTTCAGTTCACAACTTTATTTAGGGTTCTCTTAATGTTTCTTGGCATTTAACTTCCTTGAGTCTGGTTTTTAGGGTTTCATTTTTTATTATTGCTTGCTTGCTCGCTTGTTCTAATTACGACAGAGTTAAGAGTAGCCTGCAAGCTTCATTTATGTAACCAGTGGAGTTTCTAGCTCGTTGAATCACAGGTACATAGCTAGGCTGCAGCAGTGTGAACCCTCATAAACCAGAAGTCTTGTGTACCTGAAACTCAGCTGTATCCCAGAAGTCATGACTGAAGCTGGGTTTCACTGGAGCTTGTCACATCCTCAGCTGTGCTACCTGATTAACTCAGAACTAACGAGCTGAAATGGCTCATTGCACAGGTACCACCTGCTAGTCTCACTTGCTGGACTACTCAAACAAGTTCTACCAGCTTTCCAGATGGATCCTGTCAGCATCTTTTTTCTGGAATTAAATGGCCAGTTTCCAAAGCGGAGCAGCCCAGCGGACAGGAGCTGCTGTCCTGCTACACCGATGCTTGGCGTTTGCAGGCAGTGAGCTCTTTTCCCCCCTATTATAGGGCCTATATAGAGTTGCAAAGTACTCTGGCAAGCTCTTAAGCTGAGAGATAAGCAGTGTGCTGAAGTTGCAAACCCACCAAAGTGGGCTCTGCTGTTGCCAAGTTTAAAATTTCTTCTCACTTCAGATGCTGAGCTAGTAAATGCCAAATAAGTCTTTTATAGTGAATTACCTTAGTGGACATGCTGCGGCTGTGGGGATCGGAGGCTGCTCTGGGAGAGCAGGTGGCGGCCTCTCAACTGGAGCATCTGCTCGGTCACCAGAGCACTCAAAGCAGGGAGAGCCCTACAGGGGCCACGGAGCAGGAGGTCCTCCCCTTCCCTCGGTAGGAGCATTGCGGGGGGCGGGGGGAGTCCAAAGCAGAGAGTAGGTCTTCCCGAACTGCTCCTGGGGGAGATGAGAGATGAAAGGACGCAAAGCTGAGGTGGGGGAAGGTGGTGTGGTTTGTGGTTTGATCAAATGGTGACCGTGACAGGCAGCCAACTATGCCTGTTTATGGGACTCGAAAATCTGAACCAGAAGGCCTGTTAATAGTCTTGTAAAACCTAATTTGCTTGAACTGACATGAAAATGCTTTGTCCTTGACAGGTTCTTACAGAAAATAGGTTAACCTTTTTCCTTTAAAACTAACAAAAGAGAAATAAACATGCATATATTTAAAAAAAAAAAAAAATCTTTGTTAGCCCTTTGAAGAAATTCTGATAGTCTTGGTGTATAGCTTTGACTGTTTTGTTTGTTTTTTGGTTTTTTGCCACAAGCAAAGTTGTTTGAAAATGTCAAATGAATAGCTTCTTTTATTGCCTTTCATTTCCCTTTTGTGCTGTTGTTCCATCCTGGCGTAGTCTTCCAAGCGAAGAATATCTATGCATTTGTTTGCACACAAACGCGCGCACACACATGCGTGCACACGCACACAGAGCAAATGGATTATTGTGGAAACATGTAGGCTCGCTATCTTTGCGACAGCAGGAGCAATACACCTGCACATTAGTAACTTCATCAGTGTTCTGAGATTTTGGCAAGATGGTGTGAAGTTCACTTTGGGCTGGGATTACTGACATGCATTATTTCAGGGGGAGCTTGCTTTGGAAAACAGGTTCTGTAAGCTGGCATGGTTAAGGATGTTTCGGTCTGTAAAAGTGTATAATGTGTAGTCTTATTTAAGCAGTGTAGCTACGGTGCAGAGGCTTTCTTTGACATTGACACCCCACCCCACCCCCCATCTTCTTTTAAAATTGTGGGGAAAACTGTCTCTTTTGGAGATAAAAATTTGCATTCCGGGCTTCAGGCCAAACTATTTTAACAGACAAGTTATATAGTCTCTAGAAAGTAGTTTTTTATGATGGAAACACTGATAGATCCTCCACTTTGGCAAGCTAAGAGGTCCATCTACCATAATAAAAGTAAATAAGAAGACATACTGGCACTGAAGAAAAAGGGGTTTTTTTGAGAGAGAGTCATAACTAACTCAGAATCAGTTAAAGTAATTACACCTATCTCTATCATCTAAATTTGTTAAATATAACAACCCAGTTAGGAAAAATAAACATTAGAATAATGATTAAGTTGAATTTGTTCCTTTATAACGTGACAGCTACAGTAATATTCACAGTAAAGCTACTTTTCTGTTGCTATAGTTTCTGTACCACTAGTTCCTTCTCCAGCATGTGTATCATATAAATCAGATAGATCAGATCAGGTTCTCTCCTCCCAGGTGCTGAACTAGTCTGCCTGGCTAAAATATATATTGCTAGAAAGCATGGAATTCATAATGGAAAGTATGACACGTTTTAAGATGATGTTTTTTCCTTTTCAATCCATTTGCTAATATTGAGGTAGAAGTATCTCGCTTTTTCTTCTTCTAATGGCAAAGTGTAGGTAGGACTATACCAGGCCAGATTGTTCTATTTAGTCTCAAAGATCATGTATCTTTTAGTAACCTTCTGTTTTTCAAACAGCTGGTTTTGCTCCCTTCACTAGTACTTTCATCCTATTTGTATTTTAGAACAACCTTCTCAACCAGAAATCTTACATCAAGCAGACTTCTTGGAAACAGAGAAGCTACAAATGGTAAGAGCAGTATTCTCCCTCAAAGTTATGTGCCTGACAGCTGCCTGAAGTCCTTTTACGATCAAGATGGAGAAAGGTGATGGACTGAGGCTCAGAGAGGGTGCGTGTACATGCGTTTGTACGTGCACACCTGCCTGTGAGAGATAGTGGTCTATAGCCAGGCTGAGCACAGAGTAGTTCCCTTGCCACTACTTGCCACAGTATTAGCCCTGCCTGATTCTGCAAGCAAGGGCCATCCTGATCTTAGACCCATCACCGAACCCTCTTCCAAATTGTACCTAAGCCTCACTGATGGGATTTGTCCTATTTAAGAAAAATGGTTGGGGTTAAGCATTTTTAAACTTTCTAGAAATTTTTAGCCAAAGCAGCATAAGCGAAAATAGAATTATACTAAAACATAGTGGAGAAAAACGGTGGATAATTCCTATCTGTTTTGCAGCTCGGGGAGTGCGTCGCACGAGATAGTTATCCCGAAGGCAATGTTACGTGGTACAAAAATGGGAGAGTTTTGCAGCCCGTGGAAGAAGGTACGTTTCAGTAATGGCCAATGTCCCTGAGTCCACAGAGAGGTGCATGTGTGAAGAGCTGTGCTTATAAGAGTTGCTCTGCTTTAGTCTAACGTATTGTTCCTTTGAGGAAGACTACTCACATGGAAAGATGAAACTGGAAGGACACCCAAGCTACACCTTATAATATCTCTCTTTCGGTTCCAGCTTTAAAACCGTATCATGGGGTGGAAGGTTGTCTTTGTTAATGCTATTGGAAAGTTATTCTGAGCCTATGTAGCTAGTAGAAACCTGTATCTAATACCCAACTTCTTATAAGGTATTAACTGTCCCAGTTTCACACCTGTCCAATACTGTGTTTTAGACCGTGTAGATCACTGTCTCCTTATACAGGTATTTACTCTCCAGGATATTTAGGAAAAACATTTTTTTTCCCCCTCCCTTTCAACTTTGATTTTGACAGGCTGATCAGACCACAATATTTTACCTTCCAGAAAATAGAGAATGCTTACAAAATTAAGTGATAAATGTGATCCTAAAAATTGTTTTTGCCAGCATTTTTGAGGCCTTCTTTCTGGCTTACAAAGTAAGCTGAGATTTATATTAAAAAACCCGACCAGTTTGCAATTAGGTTTGTTTTTTTTTTTTATTTTAAATGTACAGTATGTTAGGAGCATGTTGTTGATAAAACGTTCCTGGTATACGTCAGTGGCAACACTGAAGGAAAACTGTTCGTAGAGTCTCTCGGGTAATTTGTCATGTTGCTTGCATGTTTGCAGCCTGATAATAAATACAGAGCAGGCAACAAAATGTAGGAAAAAGGTTGCAAATTCTGTCTGTGTGACACTGAAGCAGTATTTCCTTTTCAGTTGTGGTCATAAATTTGCAAAAGATTGTGGACAGATCAACTGGACTCTTCACCATGACATCATCTCTTCAGTACATGCCAACAAAGGAAGATGCAAATGCCAGGTTTTCTTGCATTGTGACATATTATGGACCATCTGGCCAGAAAACAATAGAGTCTGAACCAGTTGTCTTCGATGTTCACTGTAAGTTATTAAAAAACGTCTATTGCTATACAAAGTCTACCTCATGGGGAAAAAGCAAAATCAGAGACAGATTACAAAATTACAGAGACATTGCTGCTTGGCTGTCGAGATGGTTTCTTCAAAGTTGGTTTGTAGCAAGAAGGTCCGAGTACAGTGTCTGTGTAATTTTTACTTACCTTCAGGTTTACCTGAGAATTCTTTCCTTCTAACAGTAGAATACTGAATATCAAGCTTGCATTGACAAGAGGAAAGTGGTATCCACAAAAAGTTACAGTGAAATAGGCTTTTCAGAACTTTAACAGAAGTTAGAGTGGTTGATCAGAGTGACTGTCTGTGCCCCCTGAAATATGCAATAAATACACAATATACTTTTTAGTATACTCAAATGTTTTTCATTTTTGCAGAGTCGGCACCAAACAGTTAATGCTGGCGGACTGCCGTGCACAAAATGCAGTAGCTTCTCTACAGCTGTAAGATGCAGATTTTTACATTTAAAATGTGTCATTTGAATATTGGTAGACTTTTGAGTAGAGAACTGGTGTAAGAAATTACTTCTAGTTGGCCTAAGTCCTAAAGCAACTCCCTTACTGTGTTACTGACTGATGTGGAAATTGTAATTCTCCTTTGAATAAACAAAACAGGCAGTTGGCAGGGAAAGGTCAGAGGGGGTGGTAGCAGTTAGAGAGGGGAGAAGAGGCATTTCAAAGTCTTGTGAAATGACACTTCTGAAGGCCTGTAGAAGGCAACAGGTCATAGCAAAATGAAGAGGAACAGAAGAAGATCTGCAAGATATCCAGTCAGGTGTTATCTTTCTGTACACTTCAAGTATTACCTCAGCTTATAAACGAGAAGTCCCTATTTTGGGAATGATAGGGTCCAAGTATGCAGTCCAGACATCTAATTGGGTCTTAGTATACATTGTGTGACAACTCTGTAATCCAGTTGAATACGAAGAAAATTATAAGGCCTGGATTTCTCCAGCTAGCAGGTGTGCTCCATTGCCTTGAAAACGAAAGCTGCAGGCTTGAAGTGGCAGGGTATGTTCTACCTAGATGATTAGTTGCTTCTTCACAGGGGAAGTTTGTTGAGCAGCAGAGTAGGGGATCAGTTTTGACCTTGGTCAAATCAAATCAAACCTTGGAGCAGTTGCTCATTGTTTTCACCTAGAGAAGCCGGAGTAAATTAAGGCCTTATTTTCACCAGCTGTTTCTCCAGAATGACAACCGGCAGAACTAATGGAGGAAAAAACGTCTGGGACAGTAACCATTATCCTTGGAAATAACATAGAGATCTCAAGCCTGCAGACACCTATCCCCTCACTTTAAAGCAAGAGGGTTTTTTTTTTAGTTTTTTGTTTTGCTTTAAAGTTGGGTACCAAATTTCACTGGGGTTTTTTTCTGTCATCTGTGGAGCCCCATGACCGTCAATAACTCGTACTGTGAATGGCAGATTTCACAGTAGTGTCACAAAAGTGTAATGACCAGAAAGCACTTGTTGCTGTTACTTGCCAAGAGATGCTCTGCTGTCGCCATTCTGCCACCACTTTCATGCATTAGGCTACTTCACCTGTTGAGGATGAGGCTCTTGCAGATTTCTGTGATGCGTGTACTACGTGCACTTGCAATTAAGAACTACCCAACGTGAAGGAAAAAGAAGGCTGCACAGCACTGTAGAATAGTCACGCGCCAGATATCACGTGCACTCCGTATTAAAGATTTAATGTTTGCTAGACTAGCTCTTTTAATCCTGGTCTAGTAACACACAATTTAATTAAGGTAGTTCTTCCTCCAGAGATGGGTATCATTGTATTGCTAATTAGCCAACAGTGGGAGGCAGGCACACCCTTCAGCACTGAAAAGGCCTCAAGTATCAACTTTGTTTGGCTTTAGAGTATGGGGTTATCCAATTTCCTTTCTGAGTATTTTCATTTGCTGTAACTTCAATTCCTTACTCTGCTCAAACACATCTCCAAATGAATTTTTGAAACTCTTTATTAACAGACATCCAAAGCTTCAACAGATGGATTTCTTGACTGATATTAGTTGATGATAATGACATGTCTGGTTTGTTTTTGTTTTTTAATTTGGTTCAGTGATCCTAATTAGTTTCTTTCTAATAAATGTGATTTTTTTATGAGTCAAATGTAATGCAGATTAAAAAAATGGCAGACTCCAACTCTAAGAAATTGAAGTCTTTCTTTCAGCCTTTTTTTTTTTCAGATGGGCTGTCAAAACTATCATGTTTTGCATCTCTGAAACAAGTAGAAAAAAATAAAGAAGACCTGCTGTTCATTCTGGTATCTAGTGAGATTCCTTGCGACTTACCCATTTATCATAAAGAAATGGGGAGAGCTTAGAACTATGCCTGCACAAGATTTTTTTAAAGACCTGTTCAGTCAGGATTTAAGAAATGTTTTACTGTTTTTTTTAGCTCTGGGTTAGTGCAGTCTCTAGTACTCAAGTGTTTAATAGCTAATTGTCATCCTGGAAACAGCCAGCCACTGTAACGTAGTATAAGAAGACGAGTGAATTAGCTCCTGCCGAGCTGGGTGGTAGTTGGAAATGGATAACTTAGCTCATCTAGGAGTAGTTATCAGTACTTACCTGTGGGCTCTGGTTTGCAGCTGTAGCAAGCAAGCTACCAAAAGTAGCATGAGTAATGCAAGAGAACTCCTGGAGCTGGATGGTTAGATGGTATCTCAGATATCTAAATTGTCTAGACTCCAGTTGTGTTGGGCTCTGCTCAGCATTAATCAGTGTAAAAAAGATAATGTTTGTCAGGCAAACTTTCCAATCATGCCCTGTTGCTAAGCGTCTGTCTTGTTATGGATAAATTCCTTTACATAACAGATTAGACTCAAAGACACATTGTACTCATGCTGCTTCCAGCATTGATTGGTATTTTTCTTGAAATTATGCAGAATTATGTCAGTTGTGGCCATGGAGGGTCTGGGATAGCAGCATTCATTTACTAAATAACTGCCTTTTGGTGCTGGCTCCCAGAATTTTGCTCTTGCAGAAAGCGGATACAAAGTCTCAGGTTTCCAAAAACACAAGGTAAGATGGGCCAAGCCAGGGATATGTGCCATGGAGAGGCAAGATGTACCTTCACTAGGCTACTCCTGTTTATTAGTGAAAGCAGGGGAGCACGTTACTCACGCTAAGCAGCACTCAGCATTGCGTTGAACACTGTGTCTTCCAGTCATCAGGTTGTGTCTTCCTCAGAAGGGTGACCTGTTCAGCTTAGAGAACAATTTAATTAGTCATTTGCTATTTACTTCTGTAGATCTATTTTTCTTTTCCAGTTTAGAGAATGAAATTAAAAATTTTCTCCTGGTTGATTGCAGTAGATAGAAGGGTAAGATATTCCCACAGGAAAGTATGGTGGTTTGCAAGAGTGTCATTCTTGTTTAATTGTGTCCATTTTTAATCGAGTTCAGTTCATCTGTGTGGGAAAACTTGTTCCAAATTAAAGTCCTAAAGTCTTTCTCATTGTAATTCATCCCTTTTCAGTCCTGAGACAAAGCCTAAACAATTTCAGGGTATATCTAGACATCCTTCATGAAAACTTTTTCACGTTTGTTCACCTTCACATAAACTTGACGGAGGGAGAGACAAGCTTCTGCAGCAGGCTAGCTCACCAGACAGCCCCTGAAACTGGGTTTTTTGGCCCAGCAGCCACCAAGAGGCATGCATGTGATTCCTGGCCGGCTACTTCATCGCATCTGTTCTATTCCACACCAGCAGAGATGCTGGACTTCCCTTTCCTAAGCAGGCAAAGTTGTACTTCAGGTCTGAAGGTGTTGAGCTGGAAGCTGTTTGGACATGGAAGGGAGCCGAGGCTATTGCATCTGAAGGAGGGAGGATGTGGCTTGTTGAAGCCCAGTGCCACCACTCCTGTGAGGAGTGAGAAGCCGTGTTAGGGCTCTCAGTCATCGAGAGGCCACAGCAGAATGCAGCTCCTGTTATTGAGAAATCCCATAGCAGAAGACAGACATGATGAATGCCTTAAGGGTCAGAAGGGCTGCAGAGCACACACTTCACTAAACACCCAAAAATCAACTGTCAGGCAAGGCTTTCTCTGCTGTGTAGAATTTTTTAGTGTCTGATAAGGAGCACTGTACTATGTCTTAATGCAAGACTGGCATCTTTGGTAGAATTTTATTTATTCATTGAAATTAAAACAGTGAGACTTATCTGCCCATATTATTTCCTTTAATTTTGTTCATTTTACTTTGGTTTTGAAAAATTATATTTAGGCTTCTACTTAGAAAGAATAGTCTTTGCCTTAAAAAAATTACCAAAGTGAAATGTAAGTTATAGTTCAACTTCACTGAACATGACAGAAGTATGTTACATTTACAGTTCTGTTGACTATGCTAAGGGTCCTATTATGTTCACCAAATTCATCTTTCTGAAAGCCTGTAGTGATCAGCATATAGAATAGGCTGAACATAGTCGCTTAGTTCATATTTCTTTCTTTTTAATGCAAGAAGGCTATTATCTAGTACTAACGCAAGGCGTTGAGAGCGTCAGTTGTTTTTCTGATTGCTGCAGTCCTCCAAATAGCGAGCTTCACAGAGGAGAAGTTAATCCCTCATAATGAAATCACACCATGAAACTGTTCATACTGATCAGGGTTTTTTTCTTTTAAGCACGTGATATGGTTGTAATCATTGCTGTTTCAGTTACATGTATTTTGGTGAAGAAGAATGAATTTTATATCATATGACTTCTTTGCACTTACTTCATTTGCAAAAATACAGAAAGTGTGATTAACTTCAGCTCTTTTATAAAAAGATCTACACATGCAAATACCTGCTTGATGATAAAATGGCATACTCTTCGGCCATGAATATCATAGGTATAATGTCACTGTCTGTTTTTTTGCAGAAGCTATTAAATGTGTACATTATTTTCACAGATCCAACAGAGAAGGTGACTATTCAAGTGCTGTCACATAGTGGTACCATTAAAGAAGGCGATAACATCACTCTGAAGTGCTCAGGAAATGGCAACCCTCCTCCGCAGGAGTTTCTGTTTTACATTCCAGTAAGTCCTGCCTCGCTGTCACTGCATCGTGAAATATTCTGTATCATCCCTTTCTACAGACATTGCTATGTGTCAGTTATACGTGATTTTATAACAAATGAAGGAAGGAATTCCATGTGACTAAAACTGATGATAGACATTGGCCATTACATCAGACTCTCTGAGAACGCCTCAGCCGAGTTGGCAAAAAATTTTGAAAGAACCTCTCCTTCCCCCCACCCGGCCCAAAGTTCTTTGGGGTTTGGACCTACTAAAAATTGTTAGGCTTCATTTCCCAACATCAGATATTTTGATAAGAAGCAGTTTTGACAAAAGGGGTTTAGCACCTTGAATAAAATCACCTCACCTATTGTCATAACAGCCAAAGATCCAGCAATTAAAGTACAGGAAGTTAATTCAGCTTTTTTTGGACTTTCACAGATGAATCTTCATGTCTTTTAATTAATTAATTAATTGTTTGGTGGCGTAACAACACCTGTGCAACAGCACAGGAGAAAGTGTAGGACAAATCTGTCAAATGTATAAGATGCAAATTGCAAAAAATAAAGGCTTTGGTTCCATTAATCTTCTTAATATTGGTGAAATCCACAGACAGATGTGGCTTTATAGTCTGAGATTCCTCGTCCTGCTTCCCATGTCCTGCTTCTCTCTCTCCTATTTTATATCCCTTTTTTGTTCCTGCTGCAGTAGTGAGCAGAGCTGATCTTGAGAGAGGCCAAAAGCAGTGGCCTGCTTTCAGGTATTTCAAAAACTGCATGTCGCCCTTTGAACGTAATCTTCATCTACTTTGGACTCCTGGCATGTTTGAATTGCTGAAGAGCAGCAAGGGAAACTAGGAGCTGAAGTCCTCTTATCTCAGAACAGACATTTAGGTTCAGTGAGTCACCCTAGGAACTCACTGTATGCCAGGGAAAAGATCTCTCCTTGCTCCAGGATCACAGTGAGTGAGCTAAACACCCCAGTTTGTCTTGTCTTCAGTTTCCCTGCTGCCTGATAATACTAGTCCTTTCTCTCAAGGAGAGCTGGAATTGGTGGTTTCTTTGCAAGACTTAGGGGTGTCGTGACAACCCTGGTAAATCTCTTTCTGGATTAAGAGATACGAATTAGGGTTTCATTCTGTGCTTGTTTCAAAGCTGATCTAAGTCAGTCAGTTGTAGTCAGGTGGAAACTGGGGAACTGGACAGCCAGAAAGCAACACTTTCTGGCTAATTCAAAACACAAGTTTCTGCAGGTAACTGCATGTAAGTCAGTGTATACCCTTACAGGCTTCATACCGTGATATGGGTAGAGCAAAGTTTGCTTGTACTGTTTAAAAACATCTAATGCAGCACACTTCATTTCATGATTTTTCCTAAACTGAATATATCATTTCAGATACAGATTTAGAAAGACAACTTGTTTTGCTGTTGTGATTTCTCTGACGCTCTTATTTGTAGACTGTTTCAGTCTTTTGCTTTCTTCCCATTTTCTTTCTGCTAAAATTTCAGATTTTGTATTTTAATGTCCTCTTAAAATAAGTTAGTCATTAAAGAGTAAGCTTTTAATTGTAGGTGTTTTCTAAAAATATGCTGTCATGCAGGAAATAAACCTTAACATTATTAGTAGGCAACTACACTTCAATGATGCTGTGTCTATACATATTTTGGAGTATTTCAGATGCTTATAATAATAAAAAAACTCAACAGAAATGAATGTTTTTAGCATGCCCATATACAATAAATGTTTTATTTTCCATCCACAGGGAGAAGCAGAAGGTATAAGAAGCTCAGATACTTACATAATGACAGATGTGAGACGAAATGCAACAGGAGAATACAAGTGCTCTCTGACTGACAAAAGCATGATGGACTCAACCACCATCACTGTGCACTGTAAGTCATTGCATTTTTTGCACTCCCAGTTAGGATACAAACCTATCTTGCACCTTCTGGGATGGTCTCTCTCTGCTTTACTTAGGTAGATTAGTCCAATTAACCTACAGGAGAACTGAATGATGTATTTCGTTTAAAGTAGTGTCAGGTCATTTGTTTTTACTTTTTCTCATGTATTTCTGTTTGAAAACCTTAACTTTCTCAATTCATTGGCTTAGATACAGGTTCACTTTATAACCTTTGTATAGTATATGATATTCTTGCACTGTCACATACAGTGAAAATTCTGGTATTTTATGTTTCACTCATGTGGACATATATATGGCAAATTACTCTGCTCCAGCTGTGCCTTAGAATGTACTCAAACACACAAACTGGCCCACATTGGTATCACTGAAGGTCGTTCTTCGGAGCCAAATTCACGTTAGTCTAATATCCTTTCATCTTATCTCAATGAGGTTAACATGTAAGGAGTCTAGAGAAGAGACTTAGGAATTCACGTCGGACAAGTTGCTTTTTTCACTTTTCCCAGAATCATGAGAGCTACAGAGCTCAGCAAAGTTTCTTTAGCTGGATAAATACTACAGTATTTACTCACACTTTATCAGCACCACTTTAAAAGCAGCCATTGAACTGGCTGAACCATTGAAGCAACAGTTGCTTTTCAATAGTTGCTTTTAATCTCTTTATGTGAGAAAACAAGAGCAGGAACTCTTTCAAACTTTGCTATACTATCACAGGCTGTGAAATGAGACCCAGTCCAATGGTACTAGGTTTCCCCTACAAACATTGATAGTCTGTAGCCTTCCCAGTAGCATAAATACCTTTAATAGTTTACAGGTTCAGAAGGACATGATGGATTTTAATGAAGTTTAAAGGCTTCCAGAGTAGTTATACTACGTAAAAAGAAACTTGATGTTCCTATACTTTGGTTTGGTTTTGTTTGTTTTCATTTTTTGTGGAATTATTCCATTATTCCATTTAATGAATATTTTGCATTTAATAAGGTCATCTGCTATTTTCCTACCCACCCCTTCTCTTTGCTAAGAGTCGGGGTGTGTAAGATCTGAAGAGAGCTCTGTACTACTGCTGCTAGCTGCCCAATATCAAAGGTAGTTTGCTGTGGTATAACTGACCCTTTTATTTTACTCCAAGTGGATTGCATGTCTACTTGTACTTCCATAAATAGTTACTCTAAAGAATGGCTTCCTCAGCTCCAAGTTATTTATAACAAGCCAGTTTTCCTTTCTCTGCTATTTTGTCTGCATGTCAGAACAGCTTTACTACACGAGAGAAGCATGTATTTTCTTGACAGAAGTCTTTCCAGTATTGGCAGCTAGTGCAGCTACTCTGAACTCACAGGTACAACCTAGTACCCTACTGCTTCGCTTCACTTAGGGTTCATTTTGTTTTGTTTTTCTTAAACACCTCTATCTGCAATAAAGCCTTTGCTTAGTGAGGCACAGTGGCCTGGAGTGGTTCTGTAATTTCCTGAATGCCCAGACCTTTGTAGCTGTGTGACAATCTGTCTTAAAGTTACTTTGGTGTCTTGTCTTATGCTGGTCTAAAGCATTTCTGCAGCATGTTTTCTTGTGAGGGCAACTCCTGTGAAAAAATCATAAAATGCATAGATACTTTGTAATAGCCTCCTCCATTTTTCAGTTGCTTACTTCATGTTAATTTTTCAGCATAACCCCCTGATTTTTAGTGCTTTCTGAGTCTACTGTACTTACATATTTTT